AATTTCACGTTTCGCTAACTGTGGCTCTTAGCAGATTTGTGTCACAATCACTTTCTTGGGGCCAAAGTGTTTGTTAGGGCGGGTGCTTACTGCGTCATGACAAGAGGTTGCTGCACTTGGGAGATACAAAATTTTCCATGGAATCATTCTTAAGCTTCACCATGTTAGGACCATTTCTCTTATTATTCTAAAGAACAATATTTCCAGGTTTCATCTGGTCATTGACACTACTGCTGTGTCCCAGCACTTTCCAACAAATCCCCTACCTCACATGTAGCTACATGCCTATTCATTTGATTCAGTCTGTTGGAGCACCAGCTGGGTACTATATGCCTCTAATATGCTATTTTCTTCCCCTAGAAATCCTTTACTTGTCCAGGTAAATTGTGTCATTAGAAGGATTGAAAAATTGAATGTGTGGCTTGTATAAATACAAAATCTCTATAGGACTTTCTGTGAAATAATTTTTCTTTTTGGCTTATATATCTTACTTCTCCAGTTGCTTTTGTTGAAAATAATGAGACCACCTAACATGTATATTTCTCATATGTCAAAAAGTTGCCTGAGCAAATAGTCCCAAATTAAGAAGTACATCAATGATTTGATTCAAAAACCTATACAAAAGTCAAAAACAAAGCTACCAGGAACAGAAAGTTAAATGCATGCATAACAGAATTATATTTTGCCATTTCTGAGATTCACAATGAAACACATTTGCAGAAGCATCTACTTTTGGTTCTTTTTAGATTAAAGGAAAAGAAAAATCTTTTGACAGAAAGGTAATGACTCTAGCTACTATATGTTGGAAGGCAATAATAAGATAGGCATTTCCTGGACAATGTCTCACTGAGCCCACGAATGTATAAACGCACCCAGAAAGCAACTGCTATCTCTCTGATACCTACCACTGTGCCTGGAAGATAATATAATCTTAACAAATGCCGAATAAAATGATTTTCACAAAAATTTTATGCAATAATACATTGATGTTTGTCCCAATTTAAGGTTTAGGATGTGTCATCTCTCAATGTTTAAACATTTTGGTCAAGGGCCCACAGAGAATGGTGAAGCCTAGATTGGGATCCAACATCACAATTTCTGTAAGTAAAGAAGGAAATGGTTCAGAGAGGATAAATATAGAGACTTGCAGACAGACATGAAAAAATAAAGCAAATGAAATTTAGATGTTTTTGTTATATTTGAAAGACTTGCTCTAAATACATCATGCAAACTCCCAAAGATTAGCTCTAACTTGATGAACCATCCATCAGTCTCTATCCAGTTTAATAAGCCCAACTGGGTAGAACTCTAATTATTCCTTTTTATCATCTGCTCACTGGCTCCAGGAAGGATTTACAAGATACAGATAAATGAACATGTCAAAGGGAGATTCTGCTATTCTTAGTTTTCTGTTGAGAATCTCATTCTTTCTTCCATTCAACAAATTAGAATATGAAAGAACCCAGAAGACTAGACTGAAGAAGTTGAGGGCCCTTCAAGTATAAATATTGGATAAAATAAGAAAAAAGGACAAAGGCAAATATGTGATAATATCACATATTTATGTAGCTTTCATTAAGTGTCAGTAATTATTCTAAGGACTGGACACAAGTTCACTTAATCTTCACAATAATCCATTAAGAAACAGTATCCTCAGTCAAGAATCAGAGAGAAAGAGGCATAGAGGTTAGAAATCTAAGTCACACAGCTAACAGCACCTTGGCTCCCGTGTATGTGCTTTTGCCACTTTGTCATTTGTTTTAGTAGCTAATTAAGTTTTGTGGGAAGAAGAAGATTCCAGGGACCAAGCATTTGGGAATAAATCGAAGATACAATTGAAAGAAAAAAATGATACCGTGTGACTCTAGGGGTAAGGACTACAAAACGGAGCTGGGTTTTCAATACCTATCGTTGAGAAGAAGCCAGAGTCTAGGGGCTGTGTCTTCTAAAGCAAGGAAATTCCAAGTGTCCAGAAAATTCTTTTCTTTATGCAGAAGAAACTGAGGGATGTTTTAATGTACTACAGATATAAGAAGTACGCAATACCTATGAGCAACTGGCTGCCCAATTGTCTTTCCAATCTTAGCTTACAATAAATCCTTTGATTCCCTCATCTTGATCCGGAAGGGTAACTCCCAGGTGTCTTAATTTAAATGTCACCGAGGAGTAGGGAAAAACCTGATGTTAGGGAAAAAAAAAATCCTGCAGTTCACCTTGTTTGATAGTTGTGCCCAGCCAGATTTTCTCTCTTAACTTCTAGTAAATAATTTACTACTTAAAACCTCCCAGTTCATAGTACCAAATTATTGTTCCCTACTTCAAAAATACTAGTTTTCAAATTTAGAAACAGTAAATTTTGGTTAGTGAAACAAATGGGGCATTTGAGATCAAATAGGACACATGAGATATTCAGGCTCAATAAAGAGCTCTTGTTTGATTATGACTATCAGTCATTCAATCAACATAATTTATTGTTTATGCAAATGACATTTCATGGGTTTCCTTAATAACTTTTCTTACTCTCTGCGCTTTGATAAATAATTGAAACAATAATAAACAGATTTCTAAAGCCACACCAAGAATTTCTAAAAGGTGGGGTGAGGTGACCTCTTTGTGATGAATTTAATGTCGAGGTTAAATAATCACAGGGGTAGTTCCCCTATATCTTGAATTGAAGAAGAGGAACCAGTTGCCAGGCTAAATTATCCATCTTTCTGTGGCAGTAAAATAGCTATAGATTGTTTCCCTTGCACTCTTGAGGAACTGATAGATGAAGGTAGAGATATTTTTCCAGCAAGCTGTCAAGGGATCTATGCATCAAACGCAGCTGAGTTTTCTTTCTCTGTCAAGATTTGTACTGAGTCAAGTGGGACAAGGCCAGGGTATGATGAAGGCAGAAAAAACAAAGGTTAGAGAAATGCGTACCAGAAATACGAGGAGAAGGAAAATACCTGGTAAATTGTGAAGAAAATCCCTCAGTTCACCTTCTTTGATAGTAGCGCCTAGCTGCATTTTCTCACTTAACTTCCTGTAGACTATTTATGACTTGAATCCTCCCTGTTCATAGTACCAAATTATTGTTTCCTACTTCAAAAATATTAGTTGTCAGAGTTAGAAAGGATAAGTTTTTGTTTGGTGAAACAAATGGGCAATTTTAAAATTATATCGAGAGTTGTTGTACAGTGCCTTGATTTTTTATCTCTTTCTTATATCCTTTTCAGAAATGTGGACTTTGTGACTCAGTTGCTAGGAGTGGTTTTGTGGAAACCAAAATTGGAAAACTATAATTAGAAAAGTGCCTAAAATATACTACATTATTGCCAGCAAGTCAACAGCCTTTTCATTCATAGACTTAAAGAAATGGGATCATTTGAAATTTCGAAACTAAAATGATTAGAAGTAAACACATAGCCCTTCAAAATCATTGTCCAACAGATCCAGAAGTCGTTCTGAGGTCTGATGCTCTCCACATCTGCCTTGCCTGATCTTGGAAATTGCTACTCTTCTGATAAAACCATGGAAATGTATGCAAATTACTTCCATGTTCCTGGTGTACCTTTAGGAATGAAATGAATTGATAAAATTTTTATTTTCTGACATTATCTTTAGTCATTTTTAAATGCCATAGGAAGTTATGAAGAATATTCCTATTGTACTTTTGTAATTTTCCATTTCCTTTATGCCAACCTTTTTTGTTTGGATGTGTTTGGTTTGGTTTTTGTAGTGTCTAAGATTGAACCTAAGATTAACTACATTTTTTTTTTTTTTTTTTTTTTTTTTTTTTTTTTTTGCAGTACCAGGGATCAAACTCACAACCTCATGCTTGCTAGGCAGGTGCTTATGCCACTGAGTTAAATCCTTGTCTCAACTTTTTTTTTGGACACAGCATTTCACTAAGTTGTCCAGCTGGTTGACTTCAAACTTATGATCCTCTTGATTATCTAGGATTACAAGGATGCACCACTGTGACCAGCTTCCATTAATAAATACTTAATAAGCATCTCTGTGCAAAACACATTGAAAAATTATAATTATTTTATTATGAGATAGAGTGGTGTTCCCCAACCTGTCGTCATGATGCTGGAAATCTGCCAATTGTCTTGCAATCTGGAAGAGGGGTCACTCCATAGAGAACTTTCTGGCAAACAAATGAATATTTAAAGTCATCTGTGGAATTTAGGACCTTTACAGAAAAATCCTTTATAGTATGGTAAAATGTTAATTCCAATTGTGATAAAATTTTATTGGTTGTAAGCACTGATTTTAAATTTCTAATATTCTAAAAATTTATAGCCATCAATATCTCATGGCACATCTTTGGTGATCCTCCTCTTTGCCATTCTACCTCTCAGCCCAGCCCTTGACAGTTTAGAAACTCTGGACCAGAAATCAGATGTCCCAATGATGGGCTTACCGTTAATGTGCTTTATATGGGAAGAATACAAATCAGATATGCTCCATAGTGTATAGATTTTACAGGTCTTCTCTCTGAAAGTCCTTTTCCTTTTCAGTATTAGATTTCTAAAAATAGAATGGGGCTGGGAATATAGCTCATGCTAGAGCATCTGACTAGCAAAGAGGGGAGGAAGGAAGGAAGGAAGGAAGGAAGGAAGGAAGGAAGGAAGGAAGAAAAAGGAAAATGTTTTTCCTTCTTCCGTCACTAGGAATTTTCTTTAGTGATAACTGCTTTGAGCTATTCAAGAAAATTCATGTCCCATGTTGCCATTGTTTTGGGGTTTTGTGCCTCTTTCTGCATTTATCACATTACATGTGAGTTTGTAACCTTCAAAAGCTGTTGAAATGTTAATTAGTTAAAACCAGGAAAAGAGACTCAATGTAACCAAAGAATAACAAGAACCACATAAAATGTCTTACTTGTCAGTGAAGTTTTGCTGTTTTTCTTAAGTTCAAAGGCTGCTTCTTAAGAGTTGAAAAAAAAAAGATGACTAGTGTCTTTATTTTTGAAAGGTTAACATTACTTTTCATTCTCTTTTTTATAGTGATAAGGTAATCAGACTTACTCCCAAAACAGAAGAGGAAGCATATGCACTAAAGAAAATATACCACCAACTCAAGGTAACAGAGCATCTACTCACTTGTACAATAAAAGTATGCTTGTTATTTGTTTACAAGGCTCTACTGACTGGTGTTGAATAATTGGATTTAATTAGCCAGAAGAAGTAAAGGCTAACAGATTAACTGAAAGACTATCTAAAGAAAAGTTTAGGCTACTCAAAAATTTTCTGATGTATCAGTTATGTACAAGTTCATTTATCTCCCAGCTAGAATGCAAGCTTTCTCACAGTTTGTGTGTTTTGTTCATCAACTAGCACGGATCTGAACTATCTTGGAAACTCCATGTTTTGTTTTTTTTCTTTAATGAATGAATAATTTTAGTTCACAGTTTTTGGAGTTTTGCTGTTCCTTCTTGTAACCTTCATATAGATCACTTTGATACTTGTAATCAAGTCTTTAAGTAATTATAGGAAAATAAAAGCTAGAAATTCAAGTTGATTAATGTTGCTACAATTTCAGTTGATCTGGAAAAAAATTTGTAGGTGAAGAAGAAAGCTTTGATTTTTCAACCTATGATGAGTTTTATAGATTTTTAGAATTAGACTTTCTCATCTTGCCATTATTGTGTGTAACTGAGCATAAATTTAACCCAAAATCTATGATGAGAAGTGTGGCAAGTGACTCTCTTCCATGCCTACCACAGAAGTAGGCTCTTGGAGTATATTTTGGTTCAGGATTCATTTTAATGGATGGCATAGAAGATTATCAAAGGACCATCATTAATTTTTTGAATTTTTTTTTTATTTTAAAGAGGGTAAAACAACACAGAACAAAGCATATCAGAAAAAAACAATGTTTAAGTGACACAAATTTCAAAGCAAGACAACAGGAGACCAACATGGCTACCATAATGTATCTTGTTTTCTTCTAAATAGTTGTCTGTGTCTTCATGCACAATGAATTCATACAGAACAAAATAGTATAAAACTGATCAAAACAGAATGATTAAGGCATTACAGGCCTTCAAAACCAGAAAATAGGAAAATCAACAATGGCTACCATAATGTTTCTTATTCTCTTCAAAATAGCTGTCCCTATCTTCATGTATGTTGAAATTAAATAGTACAAAACAGACCAAAACCACTCTGAACAAAGAATAAAATCATTACTGGATTTCACAGCATGACGATAGGCAATAAGCAAATGGATACCACAGTGTCTCTTTTCCTTCAACGTATCTGTTCATTTCATCGTGCATAATATAATAGATTCTCATAAACTGTTTAGAAGTTCTAGGCATGTATAAGCCTCTACATGTACACCTATCCTTTCTGCATTAGAGGGGAAAACAAAGCAAAACAAAACAAATTACTAGACAAACAAGAAACAAAAAAGACAAATAAATAACAATAGCAAAAAGCCCAAAACAATGATGATATAGGCCTTCAAAACAAGGTGGCAGAAACATAAATAAGGTGGTTATTTTATATAGTGATCTTCAGAAGAGTTCCTCAGATCACCAGACACAAATACAAGGTTGATTCAGTCCTATAAATGTTAACTGTTTGTTCCAAGAACTAATAGAATTTATAGCACAATCATCTTAGCTATCTTAAGTGTGTTTGAACAAATTTATATATTTTTCCCTTACTTTTTTTCTCCCTTTCCCCCTTTGAGCAGATTCTTATCCTTTCACAATATTTATTGATGATTTTGTATCTTATGTACTCTTACCATTTCTTGCACTAGGGAGACAATGTGGTGTTTATACATGTGAGTTTGATTTATTTCACTTATGAATCTGATCTCAAGTATGATTTATTTCACTTATGAATCCGATGTCAAGGTATAAAGAGTATGATCATTCTTTATAGCTGAGTAGTACTCCATTGTATAAAAATACCACATCTCTTTTATCCATTCCTCAGTTGATGGGCATTTAGGTTGTTTCCAAGATTTGGCTATTACAAATTGTGCTGCTATAAACATGGTACACATATATCATTGTGATATGTATGACGTTTTCAGTTCTTCTGGGAATATGCCCCAAAGTGAAATATCTAGGTCAAATGGGACTTCTAATCCCAGTTTTTTGCGGAACCTCCAGACTGACCTCCACAGTGGTTTTACCAGTCTCCACTCCCCAAAACAGTGCAGAAGAGTTCCTTTTTCCCCACAGCCTCTCTAGCATTTGTTGTTGGTAGTTTTCTTGATCCTGGCCATTCTTTCTGGGGTGAGATGGAATCTCACTGTTGTTTTAATTTGCATTTCTCTAATGACCAATGATGATGAACATGTTTTCATGTATTTATTTGCCATTTGTATTTCTTCATCTGAGAATTGTGTACTCATCTCAGATGCGCATTTTTGGATTGGGTCTTTGAATTTCAGGAGTCTGATTTTTTAAAGTTCTTTATATGTTGTAAACAGAAGTCCTTTTTCTGAGGGACAGTTGAGTAAGATTTTTTTAAAAATTCATGTGTTTCCTTTTTACTCTGTTGGAGATTTCTTTTGACATGTAAAAACTTTTTAATAAGACAAGATCCCAGTTATTGGTTCTGGGAAGTATTTCGTGCAGTTTGATTTTTGTTAATGAATTCTCTGCCTAGCCCTATGTCTTCAAGATTTTTACCTACTTTATCTTCTAGCAGATTTAGTGTTTCTGTTTTAATATTTAGATCTTTGATCCATTTTGACTTGAGTTTAGTACATGGTGATAGTCATGGTCTAGTTTTAGTTTTCAGCATATGAAGAATCAGTTTTTACAGCACCATTGTTAAAGAGACTATCTTTCTTCCAGGGAACATGATTGGCCCCTTTGTCAAAGATAAGGTGGCTGAGTGTATTTGTATTTGTAGTTGTATATTCCAATCTATTCCATTGATCTTCAGGTCTGTTTTATATGCTAGTGGTATTTTGATTGGAATTGCATTAAATTTGTGTAACAATTTTGGGAGAATGGCCATTTTCACAATATTTGTTCTTCCTATCCATGAACAAGGAATATCTTTCCATTTTCTGAGATCCTCTTCAATTTATTTTTTCAGGGTATTATAATTTTCACTGATAAGTCTTTTACTTCTTTTCTTAGATTGATTACTAAGTATTTCTCTTTTTTTGGATGGTATTGTGAAGGGTATGGCTCCTCTTATTTCCCTCCTAATGCATTTGTTGTGTAGGAATGCTATTGATTTTTGAGTCTTGACTTTGTATCCAGACGCATTACTGAATTTAGTTACTATACCTATGAGTCTTTCATTGGAGTTTTAGGGGTATTCTATGTAGAGTATCATGTCATTTACAAATAATGATGATAATTTAATTTCTTCTATTCCTATTCTTATTCCTTTTATTTCTATTTCTTATCTAATTGCTCTGGCTAGTATTTCCATCACTATATTGAATAGGAGTGATAATAACGGACATCCTTGTGTTGTGCCTGATTTTAGAGTAAAAGCTTTCAATCTTTGACCATTTAATATGATGCTGACTGTTGGTTTATCATAGATGGTTTTTATCATACTAAGGTAAAGACCATCTATTCCAATGTTCTGTAGGGTTCTTATAATGAATGAGAACTGGATTTTATTAAAAGCTTTTTCTGCATCTTTAGATATAATCATGTGATTCTTATTTTTGTTTCTATTGATATGGTGGATTACATTTATTGATTTACATATGTTGAACCATCACTGAATTCCTGAGATGAATGCCACTTGGTCATGATGTATAATCTTCTTTATGATTTGTTGCATTCTGTTTGCCAGTATTTTATTGAGAATTTTTGCCTCTATGTTAATTAGGGAGATTGGCCTGTAGTCCTTTTTTTTGGTTGAGTCTTTCTCTGGATTTGGTATGAGAGTAATACTTGCTTCCAGGAATGAGTTAGGCAGAATTGCTTCCCTTTCAATTTCATTGAAGAGTTTGAGGATTGTTGGCATTAAGTCTTCCTTGTATTTCTTGTAGAATTCCACAGTGAATCCATCAGGACCTGGGCTCTTATTTGTTGGTAAAGTTTTAATTACACTTTCAATATCATTGTTTGAAATTGGATTATTCAGTAGTTTTACATTTTATTAATCCAGCTTTGGTAGTTTATATGCTTCTAAGAACCTGTACAATTTCTTCTGTGTTATCAAACCTATGAGTGCAGTGGTTTTTGAAGTACGTATTGATGATCCTCTGTATTTCCACGGGGTGTGTAGTGATCTTGCCCTTTTCATTCCTTATTGCAGGAATTTGAGTTTTTCTTTCCCTTTTAAAATAAGGTTGGCTAGGGCTTATTAATTTTGTTTATTCTTTCAAAGAACCAACTCTTTGATTCATTGATTCTTTGGATTGTTTTCTTAGTCTCTATTGCATTGTTTTCTGCTCTGATCTTTATAATTTCCTCCTTTCTTTTGGCTTTGGGCTTGACTTGCTCTTCTGTTTCTAGATGTTTGAGGTGTAACAACAGGTTGTTTATTTGTGTTTGTTTATTTGTTCTGTTTTCCTAATGTGGGCATTCACTGCAATGAATTTTCCTCTGAGGACTGCTTCCATGGCATCCCACAGATTCTGGTAGATTGTATTTGTATTTTTATTTGCTTGTATATATTGTTTAATTTCTTCTGCAACTCACTGACTGCTCAGGAGTGTATTATTTAATTTCCATGTATTTGTGGAATTTTTGCAGTTTCTTTTGTCATTAATTTCTAGTTTCATGGCACTATGATCTGATAACATGCATTTATTTAAGCATGTTCTGTGGGCTAGTATATGGTCTACTTTAGAGAATGTCCCATTTGCTGCTGAGAAGAATGTATATTCTAATCTTATTGGGTGGAACAGTCTGTGCATAGCCACTAAGTTCATTTGTTCACAGGTGTGATTTAGTTTTGTTATTTCTTTGCTGATTTTCTGTCTAGTTGATCTGTCTCTTTGTGTCAATGGGGTGTTAAAGTCTCCCATTATAATTGTGCTATTGCTTATTTAATTTTTCATTTTTGTTAACATTTGTTTTGTATATCTGTGTGCTACCAAATTTGGTGCATATAAATTTAAGACTGCTATCTCTTCCT